ATTAACATTTTTATGACACTGTTTGCAATTCAATAGCATTCCTGGACAGCTTTAGAATGGATAAGACAAACATTAACGCACTTGTACAATCAATTCAGCGTTCTTTACATTCAATATACAAAAATATATTTTCAATGAAACAACAGGAAAAAAATTGGCCTGAATATGTTTAAAGAATCACTCCGTACTTCGCCACTGTGTGTTCGTCGACGGCTGCGGCTATATATTTACCCTAGACGGCCAGAAGTCATGGTGGGGTGCGACAGGGGGTGGAAGGCGTACCGCCAAGTGTTCGGCCAACGAGGACGAAACTTGACTATGACCACAGCAATATTGACTATCAGATGTATTCCTCGGCAGCTTCTGGAGTAATGAATACTGTGTCGGTTTTTCGGTGACCTTCTGGCACGGGCGAGGAAAAACTGGATCCCGGTAAGTCGGTGGTCTTTGCGTATGACGGGGTGCCAGCCCACCTAGATTTGACCATTCCCGCCCCATATGTACACAGCTTATGCTTTCCCCCTCGGCATCGTTGAAAAGGATTTAAGTTGTCTGAAAGCGACACCAAAGGCCAACATCTCGAGTCCGGAAATTTAACGATGTATAACCGGAATGGGGGCAAAGCCCTTGCAATCTCACTAGCGGAGTTCGGAAACAACAACTGCAGTGCTTGAAGCTCTGCGCAGAAACATGACATTGTGACCGCAGCTAAATGTGCTAAGGTGTACGATTTCATGCAAACCTACCTCCAAAAGTGTTTAAAGAGGGTCTTTAAATAGCGAGGTTTTTGAGGGATATAGATTTAACGGACTGAAATTCGGGCCAAATTTGTTTGAGTTTCTATTGTTTAATTGAAAATCGATTTTTGTATATTAAACGTAAAGAACACTCAATTGATTGTACAAGCGCATTAATGTTTGTCTTATCAATCCTAAGGTTGTCCAGGAATGCTATTGAATTGTAAACATTGTCGTAAAAAAATTAATGAATAGTGCTTGCACTTTAATGTATGTCAGTTGTCCCTATTGACTTTCAAGATGTTGTTAATAACTTTCATGTTGGCGTTAATGAAAGTGTATTTATTTCTTTTGCATGCCCAATGACGCATAAAAATGCCCAAAAGTGTTATTGAATGTTGATTAAAATGCAAAAATCGTAATTGAATTTGATTTATGCCCAAATGTTCGTATTTTCGCGCTAATGAATGTATCTTCGCAATATTGGTCGCCGTTTCACGCAAATGATTGCGTATTTTCTCGTAATGAACAGCAAAAGGTGTATTATACAAAGATATTTTGCTTTTGTGTCCACGGTGGAGCTCCGCACCTTATATATCCAGGAACTTCCTTATATGAACACATTTTGTGAATGCATCTTGAAAAAAATCGGACTTACGTACGCACATTTCCAGTAGAACTCAAGGAAATTAGTAAATGTCGTTAAACTCCGTTTTACTATGATGTATTCTTCGAGAAAATTAAATAATAAGAAGGTTATAACCACAGCTTGCAACTTTTGAAGACAAATTGCCTGTTCTTTCCCGGTTTATGGCCGCACAAACCACTTCTGCGCTAAGTCGACTCGAAAAACTTTGTTTTGAATTTCCCGCTTTTTTTCACCTGACCAACATTGACGTCACAAGCTGTTTTTTCCGACAATTTTTCCGACCGCTCTACGAAGATAAGGGCCAAAAAACAGCAATTTTTAATTGTGAATATCTCGAAGATACTTGCTTCAATTGACCTGAAACTTCATAGTATGTTTATTTGGTTCATATTAAACACATTTCACTAGAATTGAACTAAAATAAAAAAGATCGAAATTTTGGTTCATTTGACCTTTAAGTAAGAATAAAATTAGTATTAAAATCACACTTTTCATCGATCTTTGCTAAGGAACTTAAACTACTATTATCAGTTATCAGTATATTTTCTTGTCTGTAAGAATTCGAATTTCTGAACGAAGTCTGTGCATTGGTCATCTTTTTCATTTCTTATTTTCCCAACAGGTTACAGCTGCTCGTACTATCGTTATGATTCCCAGGCATTCCTTTTCTCGCTGGTGAACAAACCAGGATGGGCACCTGTGAAACTGCCTCAGACAGGGCAGTATAGTTCTTACCGCTATTCTATATTCGCCTGCTCGTCTTATGGACCTATTTTCGGTGGAGGCCATGACATTTACATTGTCAACTACGCGTCATCCAGTAGCAGTTCCTATACTGCCCTTGGCTATACTTACAGCGCACCAAGTGGGTACAGCCTTGGAAGCACCTTTTCCAATACATTTCTGGCAGGCACTTATTATTTTACTCCAGACGAAGTAGAAACATTTTACGAAACAACCTAAAAACTAAGGCAAAGTATTCAGCTTCAAACTTGACAGTCACTTAATATTACACTGATTAAGCCAGGATAATATTTTTTATAAATCAGGCAATGAAAAAAGAAATACATTTTAATTTGTCAATTCAATATTGAGACCTGTATGTTACAGTATAAAACTTGTACCACCTTATTAAACTGATCTTTAATATAACCAAATGTTCTTTATTAATTTCTTTTCAAACATTTAATTTCTCCTCGTCTCATTTGCAAACTATACACCTGTTGCGTTTTTTATATTGAGCTGTCTAGTCAAATTTGGCATTTTAAGCCTACATTATTTTGCATATTTCGTTTTATGTTTTACCTGGTTTTCTTGATCACGAAAGACTATTAAATTGATATTTGGTAACCACTGGTGCGAGCGCTAGGTGAATATGATGATATCCCCCTACTGTGGTGCTACGGCTGAAACTGATGTAACTCGAAGAATTTTTAAGAAAGGCTTATGAGCATGGGATTAGTTATCTGAGCAAAGAAGAAATTCATTTTGGCAAATCCTAATTAAAGAATTATAGTTCAATATAGACCTGCATTAACAGCACCGTAAACCGATAGACCATAGGTCAAATCAGATATAACGATTTTGAAACAGACCGTCTAATTCTGTTTGAGTATAATCCTCCTCCCTTAACGATCTCAGTATAAAAACACATTTGTTAGCTTTAATTGGCTTATGCCCTACATGTGTAGTAGATCGGCGATCTTCTTGAAAAGTAACAACACTAATGGAGAGGACTCTCGTTTGCGAAATACCTGACAAGAGAAGAAAAACCTGTGTACAATGCCTTTTTTCTTAGAAACAGAAGTTGAACAATTTTGATGTCCGCCATTTGTAATGCCGCAATCAGCCGAAACAGAATTAAGTACCCAAAAAACACTACAAGGAAAGATAGCATCAAATACAATTCATTCATTTCAAAGCGTACATAGCCTGCGTGGTAGGCATAAAAAAGGGAGGGGGAGAGGGGAGGGAGAAAAGCGCCAAAGGGAAAAAGGAAGGGAGCTGAGCGCCGTCTCCTCCCTCTCTCCCCAATCCCCCTCCCTTTTTCCCTTCCTCCCTAACCCCTACCCCTTTGGACACCTGCTACGCAGGCCACAACATACACCGAGTCAGGTACTTTCGCCGACTCTGGAAGAGTGGAGCAGATTCTTTCCAAAACAGGTTCATCATATAAACGTCCCACTCCAGGTCCCCCACACAGAGCAAAAAAAAACTGACAAAAACAGCATCTCATCAGAGACAAATTCCTGTCAAACCCAATAAAATAAAAAAAATAATTGATAATTGAAAGAGGTCAGTTTCATGACCTCTCAATGTGTAGCCTGAATTTCAGCCGTCTCCTCGAGTGACAAATTTCCTAGATAGACGTCTGAAAGGACTGGTTGCATTGTTAAAGCCGTCCAGTGAGCGGTGAAGAGGGGCACAAAGTGCCGAGAAAAAAGTCTCTTTATTAGACGCTATATTACCTTTTGCAGTTTTCCGGAGCTCTAGATAATTTTACCAGGTTTGTAACAAGTTCACGTGAGGGTTTGACCGGTCAAGTTCATACACTTCGATTCTCAGTAAAAAGTAAGGCGATTTGCACCTTCAACTGCAAAATTTGACGGCAATTAAGGTCACAAGTAACTCCTCTGCGCTCTCTGTTTCTTCTGGTAATCGTGTGAGGAATTTTGATAAATAATAGGCCATTTCCGAGTTGCTCCAAGCCTCTGTTTCAAAGCGAAGCCAAGTGCCGGAAGCCAATGATATGAAAATAACTTTTTAATTCTCATGCAAATAAAAACTCTATTGCACAGTAAAGGTTTCGCACTTAGCCTCGTTTTAAAAGTGAGAGTTTCTGGAACTCGGAAATGGTCTATTCTACGTTTTTCAGAGATTTTTGACAGTTCATATTTATTACCAAGATATCGTGATTATTGTTACAAAAAAAGTCTTCTGAAAATTTCGGTATAACAAAACGTCGCTTATGAAGGGACTGTTACTCCATGTCCTCGAACTTAGTCTTCCGGACCCATCAGGATAACCATCTAAAGCGTTTGAGACCACCAAAGTCCCCTTTTAAGACATCGGAACAGATCAACAGTTTTTGGGGCAGCTTCAAATTAATCAAACAGGCTTCTAAATCAAAGAGAAAACCATCTGAAACAAATCTGACGAATTTGAAAATAAAAATGGTCGTTGGTTGCCCATATGTCATCATTAACACCTGAAAGCCGTGCAAGATTCATCTGTACATGTCGATTGGTACCAAGGGAATGTTGCTTTGAAAGAGCTCTAAATGTGTTTGAAAAAATTGTTGAATGTAAGATTACAAGGACTGCAAAACAGTAAAAGCAATCACTTTTTTACGCCTCGGGCTTTTCCACTGTACCCGGATAAATACAGCTTTTCAAAGGTCATTGTAGAGGTTATAGATGAAACCTGTGAAGTTGATTTTGAGCTAAAAACAAAATCATCAATTAACGTTCTAGTCAAATGTTCAGTATATGGATTAAGGTTTTGTCCTGCACATAATCACACCGAAGATAGACTAAGGGTTAAAAACTGTTTCATCACATATTTTCCAGACACATGTCAGTCCTTCATCAGTAATAAATTAGTTACAGTGGAATCCCGCTAATGCGACCACCGTTGGGCCATAAAATCCAGGTCGCACTAACGAGGTGGTCGCATTAAGGGGGTTCCACTGTTACGAAATAACTCAGTGATTCTTACGTTTGGGTCGAAAGAATAATGTTCGTGTAAACAAGGTGGTCGTATAAACAGAGTGATCGTAAGGCGAGGTTCCACTATAGTGCTTGCTACTGTGCTGCAACCGATTATATTAAATTATTTTATAATTTTATAAAGTTGTGTATATGTTCAATATGTAATATGCGTAATAAAAGAAGATCTGTTTTGGTTCAGTAAGGATAAAATACTTGACAGATCGTAGCAAGGATTAAGGAGCACAAAATACCCGACACAATACCCTTTTGGTTGTGTTCTGATCTTACATGTATACACTGAGCCAAAAATAGCTGACTTCCTTATTTTTAGGTACTTTGCTCCTATTATCCTGTTAACCAACCAAAGAGAGGTTCTGTAAGTCAGGGTGAGTGCTTTTTTCATTTCAGATGTTCATGCCTAGATGAATAATGGCTTCATCATATTTTTGTGGAGATGCTAACAACGTTGCGGGAGTTTTTTTGACCAGATACACGGTTGGTCTGGCCTGCATGCCGAAACTGCTAACAACGCTATGTGCCACAGTCATTATGATTTCCTGGATTTCGTTCTAACAGCTAAGGCCATCCTCTTTTTTTCTCCTTTTAGCGTCGTCCGACCGACCCAAATTTTTGGCATTTAAAAAAAAAAAAAGTAACGACGTAGTTTAACCATTTTACACTTGAAATAATTCTTTTAATCTGAAAAATGAGCATAGTAACAGCTAAGAGAACAACAGGAACAAAAACATGAACACTTTTTACAGTATATAATTGTGCCTTTTATTAATCCAAATATGTGAATGTTAACTTTTAACGTGGTCCTGGGGTACCAGGGCCTACTATTCCGAGACTTCTTGTGATTTTTTTTTTTTTTTTTTTTTTTTTTTTTTTCAATCCGACCGACCGACCGACCGACCGACCCAATATCAGAAAACGCATTCGACGCTAAACGAAAAAGAAAGCGGATGGCCTAAAACCTTTATTGGCGTATTCGTTCAGGTCGCTCCAAATTCCTAGTAGCTTTTGCGAAAAGTTTTTTTACTGTTTTCTGGTTAAAAAGCATTTTATTGCAATAGTTATAGGAAGCAAATGTGAAATTTTTTTCTTTCCAATTTTATGCTGTGAACTTAAATTGACAGTTTTTGTAAATTAATATTTGTTAATGGTTTCATCAAAAAAATTGTTGCGAAGCGTATCATACAGAGTGCAAGAAAACACATATAACATGACATTCATTTTCAACTTCATTAGCTTGACATATGGAACAAATTCTTAAGTCTTCGGGAGTCTTTAGTGCAGTATATCTCCCTGTTTCGATACGAAGTCGATGATTTCCTAGGCAAAATTCATTAATAGCAGATCTATGGAGATGATTTTTTATTACATCTCAGTAGAAATTCGGTACTGTTGGTATCTGTTTTAAAAGTATTGTAAAAATTAAATTTCCTGTTCGAGACAAGAACTAAGAGTTGGTGGTTGATTAAAGCATTGGACAAATTTTGAGCGACACTGGAGATAAGAGTTTTCACTTACCGTTGTTTTAATTTAAAATCATGCATGGAGCATGAACTTTATTTATCACATAATATTTTAATCTTTTGTGATATGCCTGTCTGATTTTTCTCAGCCATATCCTTTGAAAGTTGTAAATCAAAAGTATTAGGGAGGACGTGCTCAAGAAGATAAATGATAAATTCAAAATAATAACTGACTGGACAATAAAGCGTAGCGTCCATTGTCCTCTACATTAATTACCATCGATCAACCACCAATAAAGCACTAGAAATAAAGCAGCCCTAATGCACTTTCAAGAGGTTTATACTTAATCAAAGGTGTCGGAAAACAGACAGTGTTTCATGTGTTGATAGTGTTTCAGGTGGTCATACTAAGCAATATTCTTTGCTTCAAAATCGATCGTGTCTTCAAATTTGATTAACTCAGTGGTGAGTGAAATTTTTACTTTTCTCGCTATACTAGGTGCTGAAAAAACACAATTGTTAGGAGTATTGTAACCCTTTTGGCAAAGAAAATTAGTATTTAAGATAATAATATATTTTTTTAAAGTTAGTTAACAGTGTAGGTGGATCTCATGATTACCGAAGAAAATCAAATTTGCGAAAAGAAATCATTTAAAAAGCCAGTGAAGTTAGCTAAGCTCGCTTATCTATAAGTCATCGAATTGAAAAGACCTTTCTTTTGAGTTTCTTTTTCAAACAAAGCGATGGGAAGTTAAATAGTTATGTTGTGAGCTATCGGGTTATATTACGTACACAACATTTAGGCTGCGGCCCTTCCAGTAGTTGCACGATACTTCCCTGTGTTTTGATCTTTTTGTTTTCCAACCGCGATGGGCTGTGATTCAGAAAAATGGTCCCTCAAAAAATTTCAACTTTCTGAGCTTATCATTATACGGTAAACAACGATATTTTTCATTAGAAACAACATTTTCGGTCGACCTTCAAGAACCGATCGGGATCAATGTTAAACAACAAGTAGCATTCACGCTTTTCATGGGATCGCAGACGCAACTAACGTCCTTTTTATTATTATTCAAAGAACCTGCCAATTTTGAAAGGGAAACTCCAATTATTAAAATCTGAACAATTTTAAAAAATCATTGCCTAAGTAGCGGCCGGCTACCAATTCATTTATTACGAAATTAATAACCTCTGATTCTGGCGTTCAAATTCTGCACAGCTGGGGGTCTGTTTAGGTGGTTCCGTGCGAACACAATACCTAACATAAACGCACCAATTTTCCACTGGTCGACATTTCGTCCACAGCCGTGTGAACGCAACATTTGCATAGGTCTGCATACATTTCAGGCGTGCAGCTAACAGGTATTAAAGTTTTGTGGACTTCCTAGTTTTATTCGCATTCTTCTATCGATGTATGTCGTGTTCTGGGAAGAGCTTATTAATATAGTCTCTACATTACACTAATTTTGTCTTGACTTGGTCTTTCTTGAAAATCGTCTCATTAAAAATAATGTTAATAATTAAGTAAATAAATTAGTAATTAGATAAATAACTGAATAAATGAATAGATGAATAAATAAATTAATTAATGAATTAAGAGAAATTTGTGCCTGCCTAGCATATCAAAGATAATGTAAAGGAAATTCGATCGTTTCATTTAGCTGCAGTCGGTTTTTCTTTTCCAGGTCGAATTTTTTCAATTACCCACCTGTTAACTAACCAAAAACACGTTCTGAAAGTCAGTGTAAGTTAGGTACTTTTTTTGTATTCAAGCTGATACCCGTATGACTAAATGTTCAATAAAATGAGTATGTTTTATCTGAGCCTTTTTTATGGTCCTAATTAGGTCCTAACCAGTCTGCAATACACGAGATGACTGCCGTTTGTGGACTGCCGTGGTGGACTGGACTACAGAGGAACGACACCATTGCTTACGTAAATGACATTTTACTCGCCGCTGTCAATGGATCTTCTGCCACTTTCGCAATCCTTAGTAACCTGGCAATCATTGTAACAATCATCAAGACCCCTACCTTACAGAAGCCGAGCAATATTCTGCTGTGTAGCCTGGCTTTTGCAGATTTACTTACTGGAGTTACTGCTCAGCCTTTGTTTGTTGTGTGGCGACTCTTTCTTCAAAGAGCCCAGAAATCATGTCTACATCAAATTCTGGTCTTTGACGTGTATCATACTTTCAAGTACTTTGCCGTTGGCTTATCTTTCGTCAACATTGTTCTAATAAGTTTTGATCGCCATTATGCCCTGTCAAAACCTTTGGAATATATTGTCAAAGTCACTAAATCAGGTAACAGGCGTCAGGCCGGACTTTTATTGCCCTCGCGGGGTTCCGGCCCGGCGAAACTCGAGGAGGCACCCTAAATTCCCACGCGTAGAGAAGTATCGTTTTTTCCTTGTATTGGTAATATGCGAAATCTTCTCGATTTGAAGAAACTACGCGCGCAAGGCGGTCTTGGGAAATTATGGAAACACGTCAATCTTCAACTTCCACCCGATCTCGGCTTTTGTTTTTTCTTTTCCACCGAGACTTGAGAGCTAAGTATAAATAAAACTAAATTGTTTTATTTTGAAAAAGGGTCCGAGCTCGGACTAGATTATAGAAGCTCTCGATAGAAGCCTAACAGGCTAGGTCCGTTAACTTTTGGACAACTGAACAAATTGCCCACCCGTTGCCCGTTGGCTTATCTTTCTTCAACATTGTTCTAATACGTTTTTATCGCTATTATGCCCCTGTGAAAACCTTCGGAATATATATTGTCAAAGTCACTAAATCAGGTAACAGGCGTCAGGCCGAGCTTTTATTGCCCCCGCAGGGTTCCGGCCCAGAGGACGGAAAACGAGAAGGCAAAAAGGGGCGGAGCTCTTCATAGAAGCCTAACATAGAAGCTAACATAGAAACCTAACAGACTAAGTTGAAATGTACCAAATTTTTTTTTTCTCTTTTGCAGGGACAATGAAAATCGCCGGTCTCGGGTGCATAATCTGGCTGCTGATGACAATCCTGATTGTATTTTTTTTGCCTCCTCTGCCTGGCTTCATTATGTTGTGTATCTTTGGTGTGCTGTTTCTCGTTGTCCCTCCTGTAAATTATATGAGATTACTATTCTCTCTTCGTCGTCATAACGCTCAGCTGCGTGATGAAGTTACATCTCAGATGTCGACAATATTTCAGCGCGAGAAGAAAGTTACACTTAATATGTGCATTGTCACCGGCTTGCTGTTTGCTACTTTACTGCCAATTGGTTCCATGGAGATTTTTCACAAAGGATATCCGCGAATACACTCCATTCTGTTACCCTGGAGTATTACAATGACGTTTATTCCGCCCTCAACTAATCCCATTATTTACTTTGGACGCAACAAGAACATGAGAAATGCCTTTAAATCCATCATGAAAATCTAAAGGTC